GATTAGAATCGGAAGATCTCATTTCTTCTTAACAGATCACATTTTGCATTCTGGAGCATATATTGCTCCGTGTGTAATTGATGTTAAGTAAATGGAAAAAGCAAATTATTTTTTAAACGGTTAAAGACTTCGGACATTTGCATTTTGCACTGGAAATTTCATAAAAATCAGTATTTCCGAAAATCTGCAAATCTTTTCTATAAAGCAACCTAGAAAAAAGAAACATTCTGCTTGTTTGCATTCAACAAATTATATTTAAGAGATTAAAACAGGTTGATATTGCTGTTTATATATTTTTATATCAAGCTTTATTTCAAGCAAAGTAAATTTTTTACAAACACTGTAAAGAAAACAGTAATTTATCTTCTGAATTTGTAAACGCAATTTCAATATCTTATTAAAAAATTAACGAATTTATACTATACTTCTTAACCGGTATTCTTTAATATCACGCATAAAAAATTTAAGTAAACATGAATTTACTTTCTCAACGCAAAAATTGCATGGTGTTTAAATGATATATATAAAAAAAGAAACTTAACTCTTTTGTTCAAAGAAATGAATATTTCTAACCAGGAATAGATACATCTGTAAGAAATTCCTAGTATTTCTATAGTACTATTGAAATCGTCCAAGTGAGACTATGTATAGTATAGTAAATCTTCTAACGATAACAAGTGAAAGGTCGTTTTCAAACCGTTCTAATTAAAAATAAGCTACGACGATATTGTATTACACTTACCGTTATAGACAAGATATTTTAACGATCGGTCAACGATTCAAAAAAGACGAAAAAATTTGTCGAGTTATCGATTAACTTTTCGAGTAAAATTTCATCAACAAGCTCGCACTATTTTTGTGATTCAACGAGCCCTTGTGCAACGGATATCGATCGGTCACTAGATAATAGCAATCTTGATCTTGTATTCTTCGTGCCATTGAAGAGCGTGGTAACTTCCGCGTTTAGTCTTTGTTCAGCTCTGCAGTGTCGTGACATAGCAAAGTGCTATCCCTCCAAGATAATAATAACAACAACAATAATAATAATTAAATATTAATAATACTATTACGATTAATAACAACAACAACAACAACAACAGCAACAGCAACAACAACAATGATAATATAATACTACTTTAAATATATGATGATTATATTTTTAAACTCTAAGTGTCGTCTTTGAACGCGTGTACCGCAGTTTTAACGAGGTTGTGGTACTGCTGTACATAACTATACACAGAACTGTTAGAAATAAAGGGAGAAGAATATTAGTGATTAATCTGAAGAAGATTAACGATATACCTTTTTCTTGTATCTGGAAACGAATTCGAATTAAAAGCAAAGACAGAAAGAAAAATTTTAAAGCCCAACGACAAGAGCACATGCCATCTTAGGATTAAGTGTTCATACATTCGCTGTCTGCATATGATCGTTGCGTTTTACTTAAATGAAGAAATAATCTCTAGATCACGAGTGCTGAATACTTAGCAACTTGTATACTTTTTTACGCTATAAATCGTTAGCAGATGCGATGTATGTTTTTCGATTCGATATTGTCATCGTTTCACATTCTGATGATCATCCTTGTAGATATAACCTATAAAAGTTCTTCCTATGTACTTGTCTTCGATTGTCCTTATTTCCAAGCGTTCCGTCCATCGCACTTCGAACCGTTGAAACCTATCCTAAGACCGTCGACTGACTTGGAAATGCGATTCTAAATGGACAAACGTTTCCGAGATCGATCGTTCAAGTGTAGAATAGTAGCTTGCCGAAATCCACTTATTCGGGTATAATCATCTTGTTTCTAGCAGCGAACTCTCAAAATTTTTGGAATTTTTAACGCTTCATCGATTCGAATCATTGCACGCTGTAAAACTGACAATTACAAGGCATCGTGTACAGATCCTGTGAATTTTAGCAGCAACAGAGTATGTTATCTGTTGTAAGAGCGTAAAATTCGAAAAATTTTGGAATTTTCGAGGCACGTGGACATTAACGTGGTTACTTTTTACGATGAGATACACACAGCAGATTTCCTTAAGCACGTCGGCGTCAGTGATTCTCATGATATACAGCACACTCACACTGTTTCTGTGTGGTTTCCACAAAACTGCTAAGTATAACTTGCGACTACAGTAAAACCTCCATTATCAACAATAAAATAGAAGAATGTAACAAATTTGTATTTTCAGGCATTACTTGTTAAACATTTCCAATAAGCTCTACGATTTAGATGTATTTTCACCAAAGTGTTTAATTAATCGCCCATTCTTTGTCTCTCGTCTTTGTATCCCAACTAACGATTCTTAACCAGTGTCCAGTTGATTTTCTTAATTCTTAATGTCACAAAGAAATGTTGCGGCGATAAAACTAAAATTATACGAATAATGGAGGTTTTCTTTTGTACATGGCTAAACAGACCGAAGCTAGTCCATTAATTGCAACGCATTGAGGACGGACAATTAGCACTTAATTAAACGCCATCGACTGATGAGATTAAGTCGTAGATATGCAGCAATAGAAGACGAGCATGATAATAGTGAATGAAAATCATGCTCCACCTGATCCTCGATGCGCTCAGAGGAGAGAATGTCTCGTACAAGAGGTCGATGCTGTTGATTAGGTCAGTCACTACTGATATCCTGAATTCTTCCGGTATCGATGTACATAGCCGACTGGCACAAAGTGCTTCCATTAGTGGCTCCACGAGCTTTTCCCGGGCATCCTAGACGAACCGATTCCAAAAACCGTTGCTGGTCGCAAAATTTTGAGGAAGTTCCGAGACGGAAGAATCGAGTCGAATGAGAGGCGTAGTAAAACGATATTATCAATTGAAGACAGCTTTTACAGTATAGCTCCATATACGGTGTAGTGATGTAAGTGAGACAGTCGAACGATCGTGGACACACACACATACACAGAGATAGAAAGAGATAGAGAGGGAGAGAATCGACAAAGTAAAAAGGGGACGCGTTGATTTAAATGTACGGTAACAGCTAATCCGCCCGTATTATTTATCGCCACTTTCTGCGTTGTTTTTCCTCCTGAGCGGGCTGTAACGAAAGTAGGTCCCCGATCGATCGTGCTGATGATTAGGTCGCTGTTTACAAGTACCAGCAATAACATGCACTTTTCATAAATGATATATAAGACTAAGAGAATCGTCGGCTCGTATCGCGAATCACCTAGTACGGGACTATACTGTACTTTGACTAATTATAATTATAAAATAACGATAGGCTAAGAGGTAGGTTGTAAGGCTGAACCACGTATACGTATGTGCTGCGGCACCAGACGACTGTGATAACTCGGTGGGCGGTGCCCAGCCTCCTACTTCATACTTGTATACTGAAAACTATGAAATACTTCAAACTCACACTCACCTACACACAGACACGCGCGCACACACGCACACGCACACACCCGACACAGAAACTGACTTACACATACATGTGTAGAAACATTTACCGAACAGGTTGAATGTATGTTTGTAGAGCTTGCATTTAAAAACTGCTAGTGGATTCATAAGCTTTTTACATGTAACATTCTCGTTGCATATACTCCCAAAGTTTTAGTTGAATACTAATTATTGTATCGGAACAGATTTGCGTTCAAAAATACGTTGGTATATTTGTAAGAATAAAAGACACATTAATATCGAAAACATGACTTGAAAGCTCATATTCAAAAATGAAAGTGTACATTTCATTGCCTTATGATGTTTCCAAAATTTGCATGACCGTTGTAGTGCAAAGATTAAGAATTTAAATCGATAAATCATTTCGATTATAATATTATAATTATTCGACTATTTATACGATATTCGTGTATCGCTAATCTTTATCCTTTTTCTGTTATAAATCGGAATATTACAAATTATTACCTACCATATAATTAATATAACAACAAAAGTGTTTTCGTAAACAAAGTCCCGCATACTTTGTTATTCTTTATTATACCATTTAGGAGACATTTAAAAAGTCACGGTTGTTCGTTTTAATCTTCGAGAATATTAAACTAAAATTTGAAAAATCAACTTTCTCAGCCTTCCAGGTGCATACGAGTATATGCTGGAGGATGAACCTCCAGAAAAAACTCATCTATAATGCTATTCAGTATTAGCAATTTACGTGCAAGCTCTGTCCAAAATATTTAGGAAGATAGGAATGGACCAAGAATGATGCAGTAATGAAAGTTGATTTTGTTACAATTTTTTTACGATTTTTTCAATTATTTCTTCAATTTCGAGTTTTATTATAGGTGGATATTAAGAATAATGCCACTGTTATTTTTCTATTGTTTTCCGTGTTATCGTTTAGTCTTTTATTGCAACATTTTAATTTAAGTGACTATTTTATAACGATTTTCTTTAGTACTTCGTGTTAATTTTAAGTATGTTTCTTTTGCACACTTCTTATGTTCGGAAAAAACATTTCGTACAGAGTTATACGGATTTTCCATTTTCATTTTCTACTTGCGCAGTAATGTACAGAATTTTTACGTTCTGTTTCACTTTTCTTTCTATTCTTTCTATTCTATATTCTGCTTACTGTTCATCAATAATTTGTTAAATTTCCTTCCTTCGGTAATATTATTTTAGTATGGGTAAATTATACAGATCTGTTTGATGAGCATACTACGTTTCGTATACAGTAATATGTATTTTATTTATTAAAATTGTCTTGTACGCATATTGAAAAATATTTGTACTCTTTGATATTGCAAACATGTACGTACTTACGTTCATGTTCTAATATAAAATTAACGGACTTTCCAAGGTCCATTCCTAACTTAAGTGAAATTTTAAGTCATAAACTAAACGTATTACATACCTACATAATAAAAAGGAAGCATAAGTAAACAACTTGAATACTTTCTCGTGTACATCAAGATCCTGTTACATAAGTTGTTTATTGATAATAAATGCCGTCACGCTTGCAATATGTTCTCTGACTTTTATTTTATCCTTAAAATATTATTTAATATTTACATCATGGAATATAGATTTCTTAATTTTAAAGAATGATCAGTAAAACAGTTTGGTAAATAAATTAGCGAACTTGACCATCGATATACAGTATATAGTACTTTATTATCAATAATAAGAACACGTAATGTGTATATTTGACAAAACACCATTCAATTACATCGCATATCGCATACTTACATGTCTTAAAAAAGTATGAAATTGCAAGTAATCACAGGTAATTGTTTATAAAAAATTCTACATGTAATCAAGCATTGAAAAATTCAGGGCGCAATGTCTTTCTTTATAACGTATTTACATTGTATTTATAAAATGCGTTCAAATGGATGCACATATAAACATATGTTTCCTAACGTTCTTCTAGAGTTTCATTTAATTCTTCGTAAACTATTTTTTTAGTCTTCTCATTTGTCTCTTTTTGCATCAATTTTCTACGTTAACCATAAAATTCTTAAATTATTAGTTACCAATTTAGAGTTCAAAGAGCAAGAAAGAAAAGAAAATATATCAAGAAGACATCTCACAAATTTGTTCGCATTCGATAAATTTCTGATGATGAAATTAACCACACTTTACCTTCAGTAATATTTTATAGTAATTCGAATGATCTTCATGAAACAAATTACTAAACTCCTTATTTCATGTGATAAAATGTCTCTTAGTTTACATGTATTACAACATTGTCAACTTCGCTTAACCACTTCATATAATTAACTACCTAGTTAGTTTTAAAAGAATCCATGAGTAAGGATCTTCTAAACAAATTAAATATCCTGCTATTACATCAATTAATTAATATATGATACAAATATGAATTGCAACAAATATAGCAATACAAAACTGACAGTTAACGTTACTAATTATTAGACTTCAACGAATATCCTAAATTGTTGAATGTTTGCTTAATTATATTACCAAACACAGTGTAATGACATGACGTTTGTAATACTAACATCTATGAAAAGATGAATGATATGGAATTAAATAATTGTTTCAAATGTTTCATTAATTATATGGACTGCAAGTATTGCATGTATAAGTTATATTACGCATATAATTAAAATACGTATATTCATTACTATGTACAAAATGATTCCAACATGTTCAAAAGTTCAGCAGATATCTTTAGTGCTAATATTACCCTGCTTATCACTGTGATACTGGTGTAATACTCCAAGTATCGGTTGGAATACAAAAAAATTCCACCTATCATCATTCATCAAATTCACATAATGCACATTTGTAAAAAAAAATGTACTTCTGTATACAATTTACAAAGGAATCAGGAAAAGAAAAGACCCCCGAAGATAAACCGATCTAACGAGATCGTTCTTAACATATTAGTTGCAAAGTGCAAAGGTATGATTAAATAATCGCCAAAAAGTTCATAACAACAATGGTGTAGGACGACGGTGGTATTTGTGTATGTATCAGTTTTGAGGTATAAAAATTGTCCGAGGGCGTACCACACATACATTTAAAGACTCGTTACCGGAACATCTTTATCCTTTAGATGATCCAATCTGGTCATTGATATGTGGTCCGCAGCTCGTTCCTAACAATCCGTTCCCCTTCTAGAATAATTATTGTTATGTTCACCGATAACAAAGGCTTCATAGAAATACAAACATATTCCATTTACATTTATATTATTTCCATACCTTGTATTGAAAAGTATATCAGCTCGAGAATTAATAAACCATACAAGAATGAATGATACACTCGCTACTATGCTACCAAGAATCATACTAAGCCGCTGTGTAGCTTGCGAAGGCTTCAGGAACATTCTCACACTCAATGTTTCCCATATGGACTCTGTCCATGTGGAGTAAATTCCCGACTTCATATCGTAACCTATTTAAACGTGTAAAACATAATAACTTTATTTATTTCAAATGGCAAGTATAAAGAACATACCATCGATGATAAATGCTGGACTCATAGCTGCACTATAATTCACCGTGGAATTAATACAAATGCCTGTACGGTTATATCCAGCCATCCAAATGAGATGTTTTTCATAACATGCAGTTTCATTTAGATCCAGTTCTTTCCTGGTCAAGAAAGCAAGAAGCTGACCAGTTAAAGTTGTGGCAGTATTTAGTACTCTGTGTACACCCACGTATAGCGGTAAAACTTGATTAATTATTTTAGCGCCTGGGGGCGATGCAGCCTGGAATAAATTGCACTTTGCACTTTCCAGATAACAAGATAACATTTCAGAAATATGCTTCTCAATATCTAATCGAATGGTTTCATTCATAGATGGAGACGGTTTTCCAGTAACGTTTTCGTATAGAATTTCAGCGACGCAAATTGATACATTTGCTAAAGCAACTGCAAGAGCATCTGATTCCTGTCTGCAAAGAAATATATTTTATTATATTGTTTTTTACCAATATATTTGTTACGCGTTGAAAAAAAAAGTTGGAGGAACACCTGTTAGAATAAAGATTTTTAGCATCATCCAGGATTCCATTGTAATATTTGTTTTTAAATTTTTCGTCGTGATTACTTATAACAATTGCTGTTAAGTTTCGCTTTTCTTTCAAGAAACTCTGTATCGATGTAGGTGGAATACTGTCTTCTATAACTGTTGCATTTAATGCTTTCTGGAGGTTGTTCATCATTATATTGTTTTTTGCATTGTTAGAATGAAGATACAAGTTTCCATTACTTAATTGACCAAATTCTATGACACTCTTAATGTCATCAAACTTTAATTTTATACCACCTAAGGCACTGAAATTATCCTCCTTCAAATCATAAATTAATCTACTAGAACCTATGTAGTCAAATGCTTCGCCATTGAGCAAAGAAAATACAACATTTGTTTCTAAAAAAGAGGCAAAATGATAAACATTAAAATATATTTATAAATATAAAGTAACATATTTCATATACTTACTATTTATTATCATAACATTTTTAAATAAACTATTTAAGTAATAGGCAGTGGCAAGTAGTGTTACTAATCCTGTTACTACATTTTCTGCTCCAGGTGATATTCTATCAAATAAAGAAGATGCATCCAATCTAGCTGTTACTAATATAATAGAATTTTCGTCTTTGTTTAATGGAGCCAATGGCCAATGTATATTTCTATCTCCCAAAGGATCACAATACAATATTGGATCGATGTTCAATTTAAAATCATTACGTTTAATGCAAACTTCTGAATTAACAGCAGCGAACATAAATGACTTCATTTCTAGTGCACACAGTGGTCTAGAGTGTTGAGTTTCCAAATTCTGTGCATTATGTTTCCAGAAACAAGATTTTATATCTTCAATCCTTGTCTCATTCTAAAAATAAAAATAAAGAATTTAATAAAAGTTACAACAATCATTCAAGGAAACATTCGATGTATATGAAATAAAAAAAAATTATATTTGACCTCTATATAAAACATTGGAAAAGGCCAATCATCCATAAGCAAAGAAGATCCATATGGATTCCAAGGAGAAGAATCAGTGCAATGTTTATATCCTGAATATCTATCTGGACAAGTATCATCAGGAGAGTAAAAATTTGGATACGGCTGACTATTATTTTTCGCTAATAAAACTCCATTTATATTGTTCGTCTTCCGTAATCGTAATAATGTATTTCTAGTGAACATAGAAAATGGAAGAACTACTGTATAAGGTCCAGCAGTAGCATTATGTTCAATCCATGAGACGTCACTTTCTCCTTCAATAAAATGAACAACACCAATATTTCCAGATCTACTTGCTATAATAAAGAAGAATAATTTAACTACAGTGCTTTATGATATTTAATATTTCAATGAAATTATTCAGTTCATAAACAGAAAATTTATATCGATACGTCAAATATGTCTTAACTTATAACAACAAAATAAGAAAAATCTGTTAAATAAATAGAAATCTACAGAAACTTTATACAAAAGTTATAACAACAATATGGAATATTAGAATAAGTCAGTACAATTTTATTAACGCGGTTTAAAATGCTAAGCAAACTTATTCTACTGTCAATAGAAAATTCAATTTTTTTTTATAACTTTTGAATAAAATTTTACTAACCTATGTTTATAATAGTATCTTTTCTTATTTGTTATTGAAATTCCAAACATTTTAAATACCAAGAGAATAAAAATAAAAATGTTCTTAAGTATTCCTAAGATATTATAGTTGTAAGAATAACTGCAAAATATATAATCTTACAAGAACATCCAAATTGATGTGTTCCATTATGTCTACGGAAACATGCAGAAACTCCTTCAAAAGACATATAAATCATATCTTTTACTCTGACTGCAGCCACTGCAAACATAATTACAAATTTAATTACACAGTCTTCTAATTTGTGTTTGATACGTGTGATATGATAAATAAATAGTAACGAACACCAATTTTAATAAGAATATTAACTTTGCTATTGTAAGTAAAAGTATGAATAGAATTTATTGTCTTTTGTAACAAAGAACAAAATGCACCCTACAGAGTAACAAGTTGTTTATTCAAATTTATAAACTTCCTTTTGTAAGAGAAGTTTTACACTTCATTCAAAATTTCACAACTTACCTAGATTTATAATAATAAATATAAAAAAATATCCGAAGCAAAAATATCTTGCCATTTTTTTCTTTATAGTGGCACCTGTCAAAAGTTTAGTCTGTCAAAAGGTTTATCTTCTATGACCACCACTACAGATAGTCTGTAAGCCTGCATGAAGGTTAGACACGATGACACAAATGCATTGCGTGAATCGGTGGGGAGTTAACCGCTTCTTACTTTTACTTTATAGTGGCGACCCCAAAGAACTACTACCAGAGAGCTTCAACTAGGAACCAATTCTCAAAAGTAGTTCAAAAGACCTAATCACCTTTAAGGATTCTCTTAGTTTTTATTATCCGAAGTGAAATTTCCTAAAACCTGGCAAATTTGATGCAGCTGAAATTTTGCAAATAACTTAATTTTCCATAAAAACAGTGAAACGTTCTAAAACCTGACCACAACTTCGTCTGTGACCTAACAAATCCGATGGAAATTTGCATAAATTAACCAGCACCCTTGCTACATGAATAACTAGCCATACTCTTACCGAGAATCAACCATTGAGGTATTTACCAGAGGGTGATTTGGACCTTTGTTTAAGCATCATCGACTATGTACTCTGGTATTTACCAAGAACAAGTTTGTGATGTGTCAATTATTCAAACTTAAGTGTCATGGCGCTTTGTTCCCAAATATTGAAACCAAAAGTGACGAGAAATCTTTGACAACATACAAATTTCCAGTGCCTTAATTCCTCACCTGCAACTTTCATTACAATATTCCCGGGCGTTTTCTTTGTCCTGTACTATAACGTTAACATAGAGAGTAATATTGCAAGGGTAAAATGCTTTTTCACAAAATTTTGTATCTTAGTTTTGGAATTGCCAAAAATCATGCTCGCAAATAATTTTTCCATATAAAAGACAACTCTCTGTCGGTAGAATAGTAGACCAATCAGAATATAAAAGTTTTAGAAATGACAGAATGATACTAAAATGATAGAACGCTCTTTTGCAAAATTTTATATCTTAACTTTCGCATCACCAAAAATCCCTCTCGTAAACATTGTTTTTATCTAAAAGGAACTTATATGCAAAATTTCAGCCCAATCGGATTAGTCAGGTCTTCGAAAGAATAGTAAAAAATTTTAACCTTTTTTTTTCAAGGTCAAAAGGAATTTTGCCACAGCTTTTTTACATCAATCTACATTAAATTAAAAGTGTAGAATTTACCTGTGTGTGTGTGCGTGTGCGATAGTCAAACAAAATATTTTTTTCCATCTTATACATAATTAGCAATTTAAAAAATTATATTCTCATGATATTCGATTGTAATCAGTTTATGCCTAGAAAAGCTCATAATTTATCTACGATTAAATTTTCGGCTATATCCGAAGTATAAAATATTTAATTGAAAATTACTCCATTAAATAATTACGTAAATATTAGTTGACTTATTCAGAAATAAATGGAATTTTGTATTAATGTTACTCAAACG